AACTTAGTACTGCCACTTCTATTTAAACTATGTATAGTCATACGCTGTACAAAATATAGAAGCGTTTTAAGCAGTTTATTACTGATGCAGATATTTCTTTTCAAAATACTGTCATACCCAAATTGTGGATAGAGAACTAAACTTTTAACTGACTAAACTTGGAAAATCAGGATAATGTATATCAAAAAAAAGATATTTTCCTCTCTTCCATCTTGCGAAGAAACTTGATGCTATCCTTCCCAAAAAAAGATGTAGCTCCTGCAGTCTATGCATATGTCACTTTTAAGATTATTGTGTTTATATCCTCAAAGATGTTAAAACAGTGCAACAGTTCAGGCTGCTAGAGAGCATCTACTGCTTCCTATGCTGCAGGATACTGCGAGCATACCTTCAAAGTGTGTTCAATATGTTTGATATGATGTTTTACAAACTTGGATATCAGATTTTGAAAGGAAATAAGGTATTTACCAGAATTGCCAGAGATTCTTAATATAATGGGTAGTTAACTCGCGTGGAAATTTTTAAAGTGATGCTTATGTTTCACATTTTCTGTCAGATTAACCTATATTTTTTCACTGTTATTTAGAGCAGTTACCTTTTTTAATGCTTCCAGTGACTCTATTTTGGGTGTCCAAACGCATAGCTACATTTTCACTGAGCATGTTTAACATCACTGGGAATTCCCTTTTCCATCTTAGATTTTTTGCATTCATCAGACTTTTCATTTCAGAGAAGTCTGAACCCTCATTCCATTTAACAGTTTCAATGGCCCTCTTGAAATATTTAGTAGTTTATAAAATGGAAACTTAAACATGTTTATTTCCAGCTGCTTAAAACCAAAGTTTTATAAACAAACTGAAATTCTAGAGGCTTTACTGGTAAAGTTAGAGTAATGCGATGGCTTTTAAATGTTTTTTGAATTGTGATGTAAAGTATCAGACTGTGTGCTAGGTTAGCTAAATGAAGCACATCTTGCTGCTAATTTCTGATAGTGTAAGACTGAATCTCATGCAGCTGGCAGAGAAACTGTTAAAGCTTATGCTTTCCATCATCTCGTTATTGCCGCTATTAATGTTTAATTTTAAAATAAGTGCTGACGAGGCATAAAGAGTGGTCTAGGATGTCATTTCTTCAGCAGTATCAAAAAAAAGGAAAATGAATATATAAAGTGTTTTGAAAGGGATTCAAATAAAAAGTAAAGTAGTTCAGCATTTAAAAGAGGACAGTTTGTTTTAGATTCTAGGATCTCATATTGCCTTAGTGTATGTTCTTTTAGATCAATATTGTTGACAGGTTAAGGAGACTGTTTTAAATGCAAGTTACGTAATCATTTACGTCACCTCTTGCTCCTTAAGGATGACTTAATCCTTCAGCAGATTCTAGATGTGTCCTGACCCTCTTTTAGGTGTTTGGAGTATGAAAGGCAAGTTTTGATATGGAATGGGCTACAACACATGTCTAAAATATTCAGCAGAACTTTAGAAAACTTAACGGGAGGTGGAAGATAGTTCATGCAATATCATGTTCAGGATGATAAGTTAAAATAAGAGGGTGGCCCACAAGGTAATAATGGGAATTTTCTAGGGAATCTATAGTCACATGCTTGCAGCCAAACATCTGCTAGGTTGTTTGTTCCATTCAGAACTGAAGCAATATCTTTGAGGCACTTGGGATTTTAATTACCCCTTCAGGAACATGTGAAGTTGAAGTTTAACTAAATCTAGGTAAAGGTTTTATTCCATTTACTCTTGTGTTAGATGGTGTTTTTTAAAGTGAAAACAATGAAATATATGTGCTACCTCTGCCTTTCCTCACCCCTGCTACTGCCCTTTCACTTCCTACCATTTTTAAACATTTTTGACTTTTGGATCAGAGTCCAAATGGACCTCAGAATTCATCATCTCATTTCTGGCTTGTGGCTTTCTGTGAATCAATGGGGTATGTATTTATCTCTTTATAGCTTTCCTTCCATTTTCCTTAATGGGTCCACTCTTAAACAAGTCCCTGCTATTGTGAAAATGCAGCTTTTTTCTGCTCTTTGTCCCAAGCCCCCATAGTCTTATTAAAGCCTTACTCTGTGACTTTTGTTCATTTGCTTTCCTGCTCAGACATTTTATTTACCTAATAAGTATTCTATAAGTACAAAAATGATCTAATCTTTCCTATATAACCTGTTACTAGCAGGAAATAGTTATTTTATTTTCCACATTTTTCTGCTTTATCTGATCCCTTTAATTGGGGGGGGGGGGCACGACCCTCTCAAAGAAGGACAAGATGCAGCAGGCACAAATTGAAACAGAGGAAACTCCCACCTGAGCAACATAAAACCCTTACTGTGAGGTTGATTGAACACTGGAGCAGGCTTCCCAGAGGGGTGTTGGAGATGCTCAGAACCTGACAGGACACAATCCTAGGCAATATGCTCTAAGCGACCCTGCTGGAGCAGGAGGGTTGAACCAGATGATCTCCAGACATCCCGTCCAGCCCCAACTATTCTGTGATTTTGTCATTTTTCTGCTTTCCATTTCTCATTCCTCCGTTGATGATGTTCAATCAATGAGCAATTGTTTAACTCATGAAATATTACAGAAGGGAATGAAGTAAATCACAAAACATGGTAGTTTCTCCCTCCTAATTCTCACTCCCTTCAAAATATAAATAAACACCAGGAGAAATAAATCAAATTAGCAGGCAAAAAAAAAAAAAAACTATTCTGAGCAGAATTTTTACCTGTAAATGAAACTGAACTTCTATGAAGCTTCCTATTGGCTTTTCACTCTGCTTTCTGTATAAAATAAGTATTGGATACATTGGTGAGGTATGGTAACATAAAATCCTTAGACAGTAAGAGGCAAAATAAAGGTGCTATATTTCCTAGAGATCATATTTATTCACAGAATCACATAGTTTTCTGGTCTCTTAAAGCATCTGTCAACAGTGGTTACCTGTGATCCTATTTAGGAAAGACTGGACGTATACTTCAGTGAAACTGGAGCACCGTGCAGCTTAAAAAAGGGATGATAATCATTGAGTGTTGGATCAGTGCCTCAGCATGATGGAAGGGGATGTTACGATAGGAAATTAGTAGTTCCTGTGCATGAAGGAAAACTTATGTGGGTATTTTCAGTAGTGAAAGACATACTGCAGATTTCTTTTTTAATAGAAATTCATCTCTGTATAAAGACTACATGTTACATGGATTTCTTCACATTTCTTCTGCATCAGCAGAAGACAGTTACTTGCTTCTTTTTACTGCTCTGTTTGCGCTTCTTAAGATGGTGTTACATAATGGTCTTTAAGGAATTGCTGTACTCATTTTGCTTTTAGGTTAGATTTGCAAGGATGTGAGGGAGAAAACATACTGTAAGTGTAATATGAAAGTTCTGTGAAGTAAAATTGCCATTTAGGTATCTAAAAATAATTCTTTTCTTGAATTAAAATGCAATTATTTCAAAATTCTGCACATTTCTTCTGAGCTTCTAAAACGACTAGTTTCTAAAATGGAAGTAATTGTATTCAGATGGCTTTCGAACATCTCCGAGGAGGGAGACTCCACAGCCGAAGAGTCTGGCCCCATCCTCTCGACACCCTCCCTTCAGATACTCATATGCACTGATCAGATTCCCCCCCTCGGCCTTTTCTTCTCCAGGCTGAACAGTCCCAGCTCTCTCAGCCTTTCCTCACAGGAGAGATGCTCCAGTCCCTTCATCATCTTCGCAGCCCTCCACTGGACTCGCTCCAGGTCTCTCTCGTACCGGGGAGCACAGGCCTGAACACAGCACTCGAGGTGAGGCCTCAGCAGGGCTGAGGAGAGGAGGAGGATCGCCTCCCTCCACCTGCTGGCAGCACTCTGCCTCATGCAGGCCAGAATACCATTGGCCGCCTTGGCCACAAGGGCACATGGCTGGCTCATGGTCACCTTGCTGTCCCCCAGGACTCCCAGGTCCTTCTCCGCAGAGCTGCTTTCCAGCAGGTCAGCCCCCAGCCTGTCCTGGTGGAGGGGGTTGTTCCTCCCTAGGTGCAGGACCCTGCACTTGCCTTTGTTGAACTCCATGAGGTTCCTCTCCGCCCCTCTCTCCAGCCTGTCCAGGTCCATCTCTGAATGGCAGCACAGTCCTCTGAGGTATCAGCCACTCCTCCCGGTTTTGTATCATCAGCAAACATGCTGAGGGTGCGCTCTGTGCCTTCATCCAGGTCATTGATGAATAAGTTGAACAGGATTGGACTCAGTGTTGACCCCTGGGGGACACTGCTAGCTACAGGCCTCCAACTAAAAAAAATTGAGTATGGCTGGGGGGTTGTTGTTGCTGTTGTTTTAACATAAGAAAAAACTTTTAAAAAAAAAAAAAAACTAAGAGGATGGTCAAACGCTGGAGTGGATTGGCCAACCTTTTTTATGGAGCCTCCATCCTTGGAGACGTTTGGACATAGTCCTATACAACCTGCTCTAGTTGACCCTGCTTGAGCAGGGCGTTGGACTAGAGACTTTCAGAGGTGCCTTCCCGCCCGAGGTGTTCTGTGATTCTGTATGTGCTGGTTTTAATAGTGCTTACTGTAATGGGGTGAAAGGCTGAATCTCTTGTATTTAGGGTGAATTTTACAGTGATGTGGAATATTTAGTGTGAAAATCTTGATGTGTTCTACGTATGTACATTAAAGGAACTTATTACCATACAGCTCTCCAGGTTGTGACCCAGAAGGCTTTTTATTAACAGGTCAAATCATGAAAGCATATTAAGTTTTGTGTTTTTACATTTGCAGATTTATATAGGTTGTTTAATTTAATTCAAACTTAAATTCAGAAGGAGAACAATTAAATATCATCCTGTTAGTGTTAGAAAGATTAAAGAATATTTTAGAAATGTCGTATGAGTGTCTCTTTCCAAAAATTGTATTCTAATTGTTTTATTTTCTGTTTCTTCTTTTAGGTTTATTTCTATTTTTTGTGTATTCAACAGCTTGAATGTATAGCTAATGTACTACTTCCTTATCTCCCACAGATCTGAAGAGGGAAGCCAGTATTTGTCACATGCTGAAGCATCCTCATATTGTTGAATTGTTGGAGACATACAGCTCAGATGGAATGCTTTATATGGTTTTTGAGTTGTAAGTTTCTCTCTTTTGATTTTTATCTTTTTGTTGTCATTTAGTAAGTAAAACCCTTAAAGTATGTCTGCTTCCACCTGCTTGTTTTGTAGCTCAAAAGTCTTAGGTGGTATGAGCATTTATTTTTGGAATGTACAGGTTGGTACATACTAAAAAGCTATTGCAGTGGCTTAGTGACTAACATTATGGTGCTTCTTAACAGCATGCTTTTTAAGGGCAACTCTACTGTTTGGTGGCTGCCGTGTCTCTAATACAGTACCTTAAAGCAAGAGTTAAAAATCTCTTTGCTGGTAGCCATCATCTTTGGATTACTGATGGTGTACTGTTGCAGTTGTAAGGTTTTGTTTGGCTGGTTCTTACCAAGAATTGTTTGTTGAATACTTTTCCTTTACTACATAAGAAAGTAAAGTATTCTAGTATTCTGATAAATCATTATACCCATTTACTTCATGTGAAAGAGATGCAGTTGTTCAAAAAATACGTATTCAAAGCTTTAAGGCAAAAATTTTATAATGATTGACATACGGAAGGATGAACAAAATATGACTTTTCAGCAATGTACAGCTATTTTTACTTGAAAATGAGAAACAAAAAAAGGTATGGCAGCCCCCAAAGCTCCACGTTCCTCCTATGAGGGAAAATTACTAGTCTTCCTTGAGTTAAGCTTTAGCTAACTGGGAAGAATGAAAACAGGCATGCGGAGTGCTAATTTGTGCCTTTTCTGTTGGTCTTTCAAAGTTTATGACTTCCCATCTTCCCTTTAAACACTAGTTTTCCTGTGTGTACCACAGAGGAGATAATTGTTCAGTCAGCTGGAAAAATACTGTAAATACGTTTGCAACAAAAGTAATGCTTTTGTTTGTTCTTTCTTTGAATTTTTCCATGTTCAGTCTTCTTTCTCTTTTTTGCATCTACCAGCTCTTGTTTTGCTATTCTCCTGTACATATTCATGGTGTGTCTGGGCATATGTGTTTATACACCTTTAATTTCCCTCATCTTCCTGCCTTTGGATTTCTGATGCATTTGGCCTGCTGATGCTGGAGCAAGCCACATCATGTCAGTATAGTAGGTTGAATTGGCACCTCCACCAGTATCAAGAATTTGACTTCAGACAAGTACTTAGAAAATAATTTTCACATATTAGTTTTACTGCTGAGGTAGAGAGTTAAGTGGTGACAGCAGAGAGATGTAATGTAAAAAGTTGTTGCGTGAAACTTTTCTGGGTTTTTTGTTTGCTTTGTTTTGTTTTTAGGTAAGTTTATAAAATTATGTGAAATAATTTGTTTTATGCTTTCCTTTCTGTAAGTTTCAATTCAGTACTGAGAGGATAGTGTTTTGATTTATTCTGTAAATCCCAAAGCGAGGACCAAGGGACTTTAATTATCCTATTATGAAATAATTATATATACCTTAGGGAGACATACAGTGATAATTAACAAGATTTTGAAATGCAAAGAAAAGGTTTTACCTCTACTTTTTACCATGGTGGTAGCTCAGAAATATGAGACACAAGCTGTAATCATTTTTTAATTACAAGCTTATTATGATTTATATTGTTATACATAAAAAGTAAGTCTGAACAATTAGGGTTACAACACAAATATTGTAGCTGACAGGCCACATGAAAGAAGAAACTAAGAGGCTAAATTACGTGAAGGATAATAATTTTTCAATGTCCAGCATGTGCCTTGTCTGACCTGCATGCTACTTTGCAAGCAAAACCCTTCCATTGCACATTTTGAGAACAGTCGTTCCTACAGTGTCATTTTTCTATCACTGTTCTTTACAAATGATTGATGCAAAATGTGTGATGCTGGAGGGGATGCTTTGGTAAAGTGATTTAACAGAAGACTGCCACTTGCTGTGAAGTAAGGCTGAGTAGTCAGGTCTGTGGCTAGGTTAGTGGCATAATGTTTAAACATGACTGTTGTAAGAAACTTGCAGTTTAGCAGAGAAGCATCTATGCATACTTACATAATTTATTTTCCCTCATGTTGCTTTCTGTTTTTATTGTTATTATCATAAACCTAACTGTTTTGCAACTAAGTTTTGTGTACAGTAATAAATATATTTTAATAGGGGCTAGTTATTCTGAAAAGACACAAAGGGGGAAGACGACGCAGATCTGCAGAGATGTATGCCCAGCTGCTGATGGAAAGCCTATTTGTGGACTGGCAGCTGCTTTGCATGAGAGCTAATTCAGGACCAGTATGTAAAAGTACTGTGTCACACACAATAACCGAGCTTAAAACGTGGTGTCATCAGTTGCACATAATAATTCATTACTTCTTATGTGTTAGGAGCTGCAAGTACGCATCATATAACCTAAATATCAGCATAGTTTATGTACTGACTTCACTGCCCATTACTGTTTTATAAGCTGTGAGCTACACAGAGCAGCTGCTAAAATGACCCTGAATATCTTGCCAAATCTATTGTTCCAAAAAGGTACAGGTTTAAATAAGCAAATGCACTGTATGTCTAATAACAATGCAAGATTGTACTGCTCAGGAAAACTATAATTATGCCCAATTTCAAAGGTTTCCATTAAAATTACTAAAAAAAAAAAAATCAAGTCACAAGCTTAACACCAAAAAAAGTTTTAACAGGGCAATGAACTCTTTTTTTCCAGTGATAGAGGAGATTACTTGGAGGCTCCTGAGAGGCCATACAGATAGGGCCAGCTGCAGGCTTTATCATACAGTCTCAGTTACTTTCTTGTTCTGTGGTGTTAATTTGCTGACAGCTGTATATCAAGTGATCTATGATTAGTCTTAAGTGACCTTTTACTGAATGCAAGTGTTTTACCAAATACAAGTGTGTAGTTAGCTTGAGTGCCTCAAGTATATTTTACAGCATCAAAATACATGAAAACAACCTTTTTAAAGAATTTACCTTGTATAGAACAAACCAGGGTAGAACTACTGTGCTGTTGAAAAATTCCATTTATGAAATGTGGAAAAAAATGTGCTTTATTCATATTTGTTTAGTAATGTGCTATTCTAGACAATACTGTCGCTGTCACATGATAATGTTTGCTATGTAGCTTGTACATATAGTAGGGGAAGCACTGGTTTTACATAGAATGCTGTTTTGTATATAACTACTGCTTTTGCTTTTACAGTCTCTTACTCCTTTTTGTCTAAGGACCGTTGGTCTTTATCAATGAGAGCACTTTGATAAGGGTCACTTATTTAACAGTGTTTGTATAACAAAGCAGCCATTACATTTGAAGCATCTGAAAACCGCTTTTTAGACTTAGAGTACCTTATATGCAGTTTATCCTCAGCATAATCAAAGTGCATGGACTGACAATGCTGAAGAGCTCAGATACACGAGTAATGAGTAAACTGCAAATACCTTATTCATTCACAGAGTATTCTCTCACTACTTTACTGAAGTGGTGCTAGTTTTCTTAGTGCATTATAAGAGGGATTTGTATCTGGGGACATTAGATGGATTGATCTTATTTAGATTTTAGCAGGTAGACTGTATATGTAGTTATATAGTTGTACATACATATCTTTCTAATTTAATCTAGCTAACAAATGTTAAAATACTTTAGTTTTATAAAAGTAGTAATTTAAAACGGTTGCTGTTACTTAGGTTTATGATGGACATAAGCTGATGAGCATTTAAATGACAGCTCATACATTCAATCATGCTGCTTGGTTCAAGTGTTAAGAAAAAAAAGAAGAAAGAAGAAATGCTGCTGCATACAGTACTGTGCAGTAGCAGAGCTTCTTAGTTTATGGTGTGGAAACTTGCTTTTCTTCATCATTTCACTTCATTATGTTGGGACTTCAGTTAAAATTTTATTTTGAAATGCAATGTCATGTGGAATCCTACATCTTTTATGTGGCTTCACTAACTTTCTGCTCATATGATTTTATTAAGTTTTAAGTTGACTGTTAAAAGTAAAATCTAAAACTAAATTCTGCATTTTTTTCTGCACCAAAACAGGTTGCTGTGATTACTGAGAGCAAGTTTCAGAGGCTTCTAGATTTCACATTTGGGCCAGAGTTTCAAAATATCCAGTCCAAGGGAAGACTTTCAAATCAATTTTGAAAAGTTTACAATTCACTTAGAGAAGTCATTAAGTTAGAGATTCTGTCTGTCCTACCTTTAGATGTTTAAAAATTATAGACCTCTAAATCTGAGGCACCTCTAAATGTGCTGGTTTTTTCTATGGACTGAAACAAAGTCTGAAATTGCTAACTCTACTTTTAAGTGCTCTAAGGCAAACAAATTCCACCAAACTATCAAGTAACCTGAGCTGAACTCTCTGACATAATGACAGATATTTTTGACATGAAAAAAATCGTCTTTACATTGGGTTTATGTGGGGAATTTTTGTTTGATTTTCAGTGTGTTACATATATCCAGTGCATTGTAGCCTGATTTCCTATGGAAACAAAGTTTAGCAATTATTTGGTTTAGGTGTGTCTTTCTCTTTTGTCCTCTGATTGGCTTTGAACTTTTTACTGATTGAAGTGTTAGGCAGCTTACAGATAACTTAAGTTTATGGAAAAGAGATATCAGGTTTTCTTCTCAAGTTTAATAGCTTTAATTTAATAGCTGTTTAGCTGTCTTTAATAGCTGTTGATTCCATCCATCTGATGGACAGAATTCATAGGCAAACAGACTTCATTAGTTTTGATGCTTAAAGAACAATGTTGGGATAATTGTTTTTCTTGTTGACAAGGCAGTTTAAGACTTGCAAATCAGAGGATTTTTATCTTGAATGACATCTTGGCTGTATTCTAATAAGTCGCAACATTTGGCAGAGAAACTGAGAATTCAGTGCACAAGACACTGATGGATTGAAATTTCAGCATTAATTGTAACTCTGCTTTTCACAAGCCATGGATTTGTTTTCTTAATTTCAAAGTTACATTTTTTCCTTAGCAAAAGTTCAGAAAATCCGCTTTTAAATAAAATTCATGTATAGGAGCTAATCTAATATGTTGATTCCTATACTTGTATTTTTGAGAAATTATATAAACATGAGCTAATTCACAAATCATCACTGTAAAGTGAATATATTTATACAGCTTCATGATACTCGCTGATATAGGGAGATTTTCTAAGGTTTCACGTTAGATCAGAGTCTATGTTAAAGATTTCAGATAAGGTACAGTAATTCTTTTATATTACCACAAAAGCAGTGTTCTTAAGGAAGCATATGTTTTTTACTTTGCAACTGTTTAATAAGGTTGGACCATTGGTATGAAAGCAGTAGCAGGAAGTTGTTTCCAAGCATATCCACTCAAAATTACTTTTGTCCTAAGCTCATCTTCTAAACTGTAACTTTTGAATTATTCAGAGATCGTGTATTATTCAGAGAGGTTTGTTCATTACTTGTTACTCTAAATGGAATGAATTAGTTTATGAAGAGCACCAAAATTCATCTCTTGGCTGACAACAAAATTCTAAAGATGTCTCAATTTTAAAGTGTTGAAAGGATGCCTTCAAACCAGCAGCTGCAGGGAGAAACTCAGGAATATCTTTTAATTGTCTGGAATGAGCTAAGCAGTGGATGCATGGACAATACATAGGAAACAAGAGTTCTGTTCTTTTTTTAATGTTAATTTTCAGAGAATGCTATAGGACTCCAAGAAAAGCTGAATATATCTTTGACGTGCTGTGCACCTCTGGCAGTTCATTCATAGTAAATGAAGATGGCAAGTATATAGAAACAAGTTTCAAACTGAAGGGGAAAAAAGCCATTGTGTACAGATTTTTAGCATAAATGATCCAAAATTTGGTAAATGCAGTTACTAGCAATGTGTCGAGTCTTTTTTTTTTTTAAAGCAAAAAGCAGTCCTTCTCAAACTTTATGATTTTTTATGAAATTGAATTTAGTAGTAGGCTACATTAGCTCATGTGCAAATTCAGTGCTATCATACCCCAGTATTAAAAATGTAGAACTCCTCTGCACTATACATACTATTCTTCAGAGTGATTATTAGCCCCAGGTATTCAGGTTTCTACATTCAATATAACTCAGGAGTAAACTTGTAGGATGCTGTAAATTTTCATCAGGTTTGTGCAGAATAGCACTCATCAGAGCAGTAAAAACTTGTTTCCAGAGAGCTGAGACCTAAGCACAGTTCTCTTGCTAAAAATGTGGGAAGATCAGTAATAGGATGTGGTAAATTGAGGGATGTAGTTGGTACTCATATTCAAAATAATTCAAATGTAGCTTTGTTCTATGAAGAAGTCTTTTACTCTTCAGAGCCGCTTTAGATGGCACTTTCAGCATGAGTACCCTAAATTATCTGAGTCAGTTTATCCAGCTTCCATGAGTGCCCTCTACTGGTATCAGCTGATTTATGCGCTGAGATTGAATGCTGTTAGCTTAACCATTTAACCAACTTTCTTATTGCATCATTAGCATATGTCCTCATTACATGTGCAGTTGTGCGTGTGTTTATGTGCATGTATGTATATAAATAAATAAATAAAATGTATGTGCTTATTTTAGTGGATTTTAACTTAGATCAGTTTCTTTATTTTTACACTTTTCACATGCCTGGTGCTGATAAGTCTTAAGAGGACTAGAAACTTCTTGAATTTGCATTTTGTCAGTATCTCAAAACTTTCATGTTCTTGCATCACATAAGCCTTTTAGTTGCTGCAAAAAAGGTCTTTTTACTCAGTAGTATCATCAGGTCATGATACTACTGAGTTTTTAGTCTATAAATGCACTGAATATTCTGGGGTTTCTTGTAGGTCTGACTCTTGCTCTTTGCAGCCTCAGTTGGAAGAAAAGTTTCGTAAGATTCTCCGACTAAATTCAGCGTTGTACCTGGTTCTGTTGCAGCTATACAGTTCAATGTATAGCGTAGTGTAGTATACCTCTGTCTATGTGAGGTTTAGCTGTATATATGGGTAGCTCTCTGAAGTTGACCAAGGCAGAAAAACTACTAGAATAAACTATGGCAGAATATATTGATGCAATGATGCCCCTCCATTGTTTTATAATATAGGTTCACAGTTTGTAGGGTTTGTTGTATCTGAAGATGGTACCAGATGCTCAGATAACTGGCCTGGAGAAATTTACCCGCTGCTTAAATAAATGTGGATTTTGTTTGGTCACCAATCTTTTATAGTTGTCAGTATTCTGTCCCTGTGATAATAGATTTCTCCAGTTTAGTTCCTCTCTCTTTAAGCAGAAGTTTTGCATTGAAGGTGCATAGCACGAAGGAAAAGTGGTTGTATGTTGAGGTTCTTGATAGCATACAAAAATGCTTCTATGCAGCAATACATGAATTTATGATCTTACTATATAAAATACTGCCTGCTTTGATACAATGTCTCTAATTTTCTGTGAAAGTAATACTTCAGATGGATTCTAGTAGCAGTAACCATGTAGTAAGGTACCAGTAAGATAAACTGGTAGTAAGAAAAATTACTTGGAGGACATCTGAGGGTTCCTGTACTTGGTGACCTACTTTTTCCTTGTGTTCTTAGACCCTGACAATGTTGGCTTTCTAGATGTCCAGTGAAGTCTGCTTTTTTCCTTGCGTCTTTGGTAGAGAGGAAAAAGAAAAAGGGTCAAGACTGAAACTGACAGAAGTTATAATTAACATTCTTGCAAGTGCCTTGTTTAGTATGAATTATAATATGCTGCCTTGTTAAGTATGAATTGTACCGTGCAATTTTGTTGTGTTAACTCCTGTAGCTCTTTCCTTGCCCCATCAAGCAATGAATGTTTTCAGATCTACATCTACCTTAAGCCACTTACAGGGAAAGAAAAGGAGGACGGTTATGCTACATCAAGTTTCTCTAGTTTTACACAAATGCTAGCCTAATTGTAGCCTAAGGACTATAAAATTAATATACCTGACTCTACAAGTGTTATACTATCCATAGTGGGAAATGAGGTTATCAAAAGAGTACAGGCAATTAGGGAGAAAAGGAGCATATAATATGTTAGCTGCCACTGTTGCCAGGTGCCTTCAGGCAGGCTGTGAGGTGTAAACTGTCTTCTTGGCCTCTTGGTTATCCTTATGAGAATGGTAACTAGATGGACTATTCTACACTTTGGTTTTTACAAATTGAGTTTGAATAAGATTTTTTTGGAATAAAATTTTTGTATAACTGCAGTGTTTATTCTAGAGTTGTGCTTGTGATGCTTTTGAGAACATGCTTAAGGTAATGTCGTGCATTAATTGTTAACTTGCAGAGCCTTCTGGTAGGAGGCATTGGCTTTCTACTGTCATGCATGTTCTGTTCAATGAACACTTTAGGCAGCAGAAGAAATATGTTTTGCAAATAAAGTTTTGAGAGCATTGTTGTATGAGAATAGGAACATAAGGTTAACCGGTGGTTAACCACGTTAAATATTGTTTTACTTAATTATGTGTTATACGTGCATGCAGAGTATTTTATAAAAGATTGATAAGATTTATGTAAATTGAATAAATAGATTTTTGGAGCATTTTTATGCAAGTGATTGTAGCTATCTGTCTTAAGCCCTTTTTCCCTCTTTCTGCCTACAGTATGGATGGAGCAGATCTGTGTTTCGAAATTGTGAAGAGAGCTGATGCTGGATTTGTGTACAGTGAGGCTGTAGCCAGGTATGTATCATAATTTTAACTAATCCCACAGGATGAATGGGAGAGAATGGAATATATTGTTACACAGTGTGGTAGCTATAAGTGGAAGTATTATAAGTAATCCTGTTTCTGTAATCTGAGTGATTATTACAGTAATTAGCATAATCAATTTCAGAGCATTTTGTTATTTATTAGCTGTGTATTTGGGTGAGATTATTGAAGAAAATACTATTAATACTATTTCACATTCAATATTTAATTTTTTGTCTTTGCCTTTTAATGGATCTCCCATATGCTGATGTTAACTGGCTTGACCTGATAGGAGTGAATTTTATTGATCTTGTTAGGTTGAGGGTGTTTTCTTGTTTTTGTTGTTGTGAGGGTTTTTTTGCTGTGCTTTGTGAGGATTTTTGTGTTTTGTTTTTGAGCAACCACTTCCCATGTGATTACTTCACCTTTTTACTTACCAGGTGAACTAAAGTCAAAATGAACATGAAATTATAAAAAGACAACAAAACCGCATGTAACTAATGTTAAATTAAATGCATTTTTTTTAAGTGCTTAATTCCCTTAAGTATCACTAGAAGTCAGATTTGGTGGTTGGATCGTTTCAGTCAGATTTTATATCATCTGACGTTACATTAGCTAAGATTCTATACCTAATATTGAGGAAGAAGAAATACTGTGCCTTTTAATGAGGGGAGTCAAAAGAATCGATGTGCTGCATCCTTCTAGAAGCAACAGAAATTATGTTGAAAAATGGAGATGGGAGACTTTTACCTAAATCATAGTGAGGAAAATCCTGGGAGAGAATTTGTGAATAATCTGATAAAATTAACACATGAGCAAACACTTGCCTTGGTTTCAATGAATATGCCAGGTTCTCCTTTACATGTCACTATCATTGGAGTGCCTCCGGGAGGTATGGGAAACCCATTTATTCTTCCTAGTTATGTTCTTACACAAGATAGTGTCATTAATTTTGCTGGTGAAGAGAACGTTATTACTTAAGGATGTTACTTTTATGATGTGAAGCAAGTGAGAGAATATGACCTTTAGGAGAGAACAGAAGAGGGAGATACGATTGAGGTGTGTCAGGAGGCAGCAGCAGAAAGAGTTGGGGAGGAAGGTTATTATCTAGAGGAGGGAAACAGAATAGACAAGAAATTTAAGTAAAGGTGCCAGAAGACAGAGAGAAGAAATGAAAGATGCAAGACAGGCATTAGAGGAACTAGGGAAGGAAGGAGATACAAAGAAATACGGAGTGGGACTTGGGCATAAGAGAAGATGTTAAGCATGGAACTGACTGATATCTGGGAGTTTGGTGACAGAATAGAAGGATTGAGAACGTGTATGCAGGAAGGATGTCAAATACAGTGGAAGGATGAGTTTCCAGTAGGTGAGTGATCTTAAGCTGAAAGAAATTCTTATCTGAGGCTTTATGGCAGTAGTCTAGCATAGATTGACACACTGGGGAAGAGTTTTCTGGGTATGAGGTACAGAAGTAGATTAGGAGCCCTGCCTCCCTATTTAATCAAGCTTCTACAAGTAGCATTGACAGTATTCTGAGTTACAAACTGAAGATGGTGACTAGAAACTATGTTTCAGTGAAGAGAACCTCAGATAGGCCAAAATCAATTTTCAGTCGTCCTTTCTTTGTCTATGTGAGATTTTTTTTCTTTTTTCTCAGAATGCTGCAAAATGGAAGTTCTTTGTTTTCAGTTTTGCTTCCAACTTGATGATGCAGAATCTTTTTTTTTCTTTTAAATCAAAGGCAATGATCATAGCATTCTAGTCACTTAAATTCTTCAGTGGGTTTTATATATGATGCAAGAGGAGAAAGAAAGCTAGCAGAGATGTCAGATGAAGTCAAATCATCTTAGTGTTAGGAGGTGTTTCAAGTGAAGTTTGATTTTTAATGTGAAATTAAGAAAGTGATTAGATGTCCACAAAAATATTAGTAGAAAAGGAAATTATGAGAGGCTGGACACAAAAAACGCGTTTGCGTTTGCTGATGCAGGATTGTCGTCAGTCCTAGTGGCATGATAATTAAGCCCAAAACCCGTGAGTTCCTATATTTGTTTTTCTAGACATTGTAGGTTTATAGCCTAACAGAATCCAGATTGGAAGAGATGTCAGGGGCCTCTAGTTCAACCTCCTGCTACAAAGCAGGGTCAGCCTTGAATTTGGATCGTGTTGCTCAGGGCTTTGTCCATTTGGATCTAGAAAGCCTCCAAGGATGGAGATTCTACAGCCTTCCTGGACAGCAGGGCAGTAGCCTGTTTCCCTATATCCAGCTGGAACCTCTCCTCTTTCAATTGATGATCATTGTGGCTCAGATAAGAGCTTGTTTTCATCTTCTCGATAGCTTTTCAGTACCGAAGAGATTTCTGTTAGGTCTCACCTAAGCTTTCTCTTCTCCAGGCTAATCCTGTTTCCCTCAGCTACTCATCATAGGGGGCAAAGGGTTAGTCTGTCCCAAGTGCAGGACTTCACATTTGTCCTAGTTGAATTTTATACGGTTCCTATTGGCCCATTCCTCTAGCCTGTCTGGGACCTCCTGAGGGCAGTCCTGCCCTCAGATATATGGACTGGACCCACAGCTTGGTGTCATCCAAAAACTCGATGAGGACGCGTTCTGTCTCCTCTTCAAGGGCATTGGTAAAGATAGACAATATACACAAGCAAAAAAATTCAGAAGAACTTATGACTACCCCAGAAACTTACTAATGATAAAATTAATATCTTATGAAATATATGCATACCAAATTATAATCAAGCCTAACATGAGAGCGCAGCGAACAGATGCAGCAGTTTGCGCAGCAGTGTCTGGGCTCTGCCTGGGCCTTTTGTGGGCCTTGTTGGAAGTTGTGGAGACTTTCTGGGGACCCCCAAGGAACTAGACGGTGCTTGCTGCTAGCAGGAAGGGAGAGCTGGGCAAGGACTCCTGCAGGGGGCCTTGACTTCACTTCTCCTGGGAAGTTCTAGCTAGGTGGGGCTGCTGCTAACGAGCTCTCTGGGCTGCCCTGGTCAGAGGGAGTTGGGGCTTTTGTTTCAGGTGGCTCCTGATTGGGTGGGTCAAGCACCCTTGTGAGTCACTGCTAGCCAGAGGCCTATATAAGAGCCAGGCCTAGAGCGCAGCTCCCAGAGCGCAGCCAACAGAGGCAGCAGTTTGTGCAGCAGTTTGCGCAGCAGGGCTGGGCCTTTTGTGGGCCTTGTTGGAAGTTGTGGAGACTTTCTGGGGACCCCCGAGGAACTAGACGGTGCTTGCTGCTAGCAGGAAGGGAGAGCTGGGCAAGGACTCCTGCAGGGGACCTTGACTTAACTTCTCCTGGGAAGTTCTAGCTAGGTGGGGCTGCTGCTAACGAGCTCTCTGGGCTGCCCTGGTCAGAGGGAGTTGGGGCTTTTGTTTCAGGTGGCTCCTGATTGGGTGGGTCAAGCACCCTTGTGAGTCACTGCTAGGCAGAGGCCTATATAAGAGCCAGGCCTAGAGCGCAGCTCCCAGAGCGCAGCCAACAGAGGCAGCGAACAGACGCAGCAGTTTGCGCAGCAGTGTCTGGGCTCTGCCTGGGCCTTTTGTGGGCCTTGTTGGAAGTTGTGGAGACTTTCTGGGGACCCCCGAGGAACTAGACGGTGCTTGCTGCTAGCAGGAAGGGAGAGCTGGGCAAGGACTCCTGCAGGGGACCTTGACTTAACTTCTCCTGGGAAGTTCTAGCTAGGTGGGGCTGCTGCTAACGAGCTCTCTGGGCTGCCCTGGTCAGAGGGAGTTGGGGCTTTTGTTTCAGGTGGCTCCTGATTGGGTGGGTCAAGCACCCTTGTGAGTCACTGCTAGGCAGAGGCCTATATAAGAGCCAGGCCTAGAGCGCAGCTCCCAGAGCGCAGCCAACAGAGGCAGCGAACAGACGCAGCAGTTTGCGCAGCAGTGTCTGGGCTCTGCCTGGGCCTTTTGTGGGCCTTGTTGGAAGTTGTGGAGACTTTCTGGGGACCCCCGAGGAACTAGACGGTGCTTGCTGCTAGCAGGAAGGGAGAGCTGGGCAAGGACTCCTGCAGGGGACCTTGACTTAACTTCTCCTGGGAAGTTCTAGCTAGGTGGGGCTGCTGCTAACGAGCTCTCTGGGCTGCCCTGGTCAGAGGGAGTTGGGGCTTTTGTTTCAGGTGGCTCCTGATTGGGTGGGTCAAGCACCCTTGTGAGTCACTGCTAGGCAGAGGCCTATATAAGAGCCAGGCCTAGAGCGCAGCTCCCAGAGCGCAGCCAACAGAGGCAGCGAACAGACGCAGCAGTTTGCGCAGCAGTGTCTGGGCTCTGCCTGGGCCTTTTGTGGGCCTTGTTGGAAGTTGTGGAGACTTTCTGGGGACCCCCGAGGAACTAGACGGTGCTTGCTGCTAGCAGGAAGGGAGAGCTGGGCAAGGACTCCTGCAGGGGACCTTGACTTAACTTCTCCTGGGAAGTTCTAGCTAGGTGGGGCTGCTGCTAACGAGCTCTCTGGGCTGCCCTGGTCAGAGGGAGTTGGGGCTTTTGTTTCAGGTGGCTCCTGATTGGGTGGGTCAAGCACCCTTGTGAGTCACTGCTAGGCAGAGGCCTATATAAGAGCCAGGCCTAGAGCGCAGCTCCCAGAGCGCAGCCAACAGAGGCAGCGAACAGACGCAGCAGTTTGCGCAGCAGTGTCTGGGCTCTGCCTGGGCCTTTTGTGGGCCTTGTTGGAAGTTGTGGAGACTTTCTGGGGACCCCCGAGGAACTAGACGGTGCTTGCTGCTAGCAGGAAGGGAGAGCTGGGCAAGGACTCCTGCAGGGGACCTTGACTTAACTTCTCCTGGGAAGTTCTAGCTAGGTGGGGCTGCTGCTAACGAGCTCTCTGGGCTGCCCTGGTCAGAGGGAGTTGGGGCTTTTGTTTCAGGTGGCTCCTGATTGGGTGGGTCAAGCACCCTTGTGAGTCACTGCTAGGCAGAGGCCTATATAAGAGCCAGGCCTAGAGCGCAGCTCCCAGAGCGCAGCCAACAGAGGCAGCGAACAGACGCAGCAGTTTGCGCAGCAGTGTCTGGGCTCTGCCTGGGCCTTTTGTGGGCCTTGTTGGAAGTTGTGGAGACTTTCTGGGGACCCCCGAGGAACTAGACGGTGCTTGCTGCTAGCAGGAAGGGAGAGCTGGGCAAGGACTCCTGCAGGGGACCTTGACTTAACTTCTCCTGGGAAGTTCTAGCTAGGTGGGGCTGCTGCTAACGAGCTCTCTGGGCTGCCCTGGTCAGAGGGAGTTGGGGCTTTTGTTTCAGGTGGCTCCTGATTGGGTGGGTCAAGCACCCTTGTGAGTCACTGCTAGGCAGAGGCCTATATAAGAGCCAGGCCTAGAGCGCAGCTCCCAGAGCGCAGCCAACAGAGGCAGCGAACAGACGCAGCAGTTTGCGCAGCAGTGTCTGGGCTCTGCCTGGGCCTTTTGTGGGCCTTGTTGGAAGTTGTGGAGACTTTCTGGGGACCCCCGAGGAACTAGACGGTGCTTGCTGCTAGCAGGAAGGGAGAGCTGGGCAAGGACTCCTGCAGGGGACCTTGACTTAACTTCTCCTGGGAAGTTCTAGCTAGGTGGGGCTGCTGCTAACGAGCTCTCTGGGCTGCCCTGGTCAGAGGGAGTTGGGGCTTTTGTTTCAGGTGGCTCCTGATTGGGTGGGTCAAGCACCCTTGTGAGTCACTGCTAGGCAGAGGCCTATATAAGAGCCAGGCCTAGAGCGCAGCTCCCAGAGCGCAGCCAACAGAGGCAGCGAACAGACGCAGCAGTTTGCGCAGCAGTGTCTGGGCTCTGCCTGGGCCTTTTGTGGGCCTTGTTGGAAGTTGTGGAGACTTTCTGGGGACCCCCGAGGAACTAGACGGTGCTTGCTGCTAGCAGGAAGGGAGAGCTGGGCAAGGACTCCTGCAGGGGACCTTGACTTAACTTCTCCTGGGAAGTTCTAGCTAGGTGGGGCTGCTGCTAACGAGCTCTCTGGGCTGCCCTGGTCAGAGGGAGTTGGGGCTTTTGTTTCAGGTGGCTCCTGATTGGGTGGGTCAAGCACCCTTGTGAGTCACTGCTAGGCAGAGGCCTATATAAGAGCCAGGCCTAGAGCGCAGCTCCCAGAGCGCAGCCAACAGAGGCAGCGAACAGACGCAGCAGTTTGCGCAGCAGTGTCTGGGCTCTGCCTGGGCCTTTTGTGGGCCTTGTTGGAAGTTGTGGAGACTTTCTGGGGACCCCCGAGGAACTAGACGGTGCTTGCTGCTAGCAGTCCTATGAAGAAAGACTGGGCCTGTTCAGCCTGGAGAAGGGCAGACTGAGAGGCGATCTCATCAATGTGTACAAGTATCTGAAGGGGGAGTGTCAAGAGGATGAGGCCAGACTCTTCTCCGTGGTGCCCAGTGACAGGACAAGAGGCAACAGGGCAGAAACTGAAGCACAGGCAGTTCCACCTAAACCTGAGAAAAAACTTCTTCACTGTGAGGGTGACTGAGCATTGGAACAGGTTGCCCAGAGAGGTAGTGGAGTCTCCTTCCCTGGAGATACTCAAAACCCGTCTGGATGTGATCCTGGGCAATATGCTCTAGAGGTCTCTGCTTGAGCAGGGGTTTTGGACTCGATGATCTCCAGAGGTCCCTTCCAACCTAAATGATTCTGTGATTTTTAACTGTCTTCAGATAGTTACAAAGGAGGAATCTTTCCAGTTTTTATACTGATTCTGCAAAATTCATTGACATAGAATAGTTGCAGTTGGAAGGGTCCTCTGAAGATTATCTGGTCCAAACCCCCCTGCTCAAGCAGGGTCAGCTACAGCAGGTTGCCCAGGACCTTGTCCGATTGGGACTTGAGTATCTCCAAGTAAGGAGACTCTACAACCTCTCTGGGCAACCTGCTCCACTATTCAGCCACCCTAACAGTAAAGAAGTGTTTTCCTGTGTTCAGATGGAATTTCCTGTGTTTCAGTTTGTGCCCATTGCCTCTTGTCGTGTTTCAGTTTGAGCTTACTGCATCTTGTACACTGAGAAGAGTCTGGCCCCATCGTCTTGATACCCTGCTATCCGATATTTATAAACATTCGTAAATTCCCCCTCCCCCCCCCCCCCCACGGAACAGTTGCATCTCTCTTGTCCTCTCCGCGTACAACAGATGCTCCAGTCCCTTAATCATCTTTGTGGCCCTACGCTGAACTCGCTGAACCCTTAGGCAAAACATTGCCAGCAGGTCTGAAGGAGGTCGTCCTTCCCCCTCTACTCAGCCCTGGTGCGACTGTGTTTGGCGTGCTGTGTCCAGTTCTAGGTTTCATTTCAACCTAGTTTCTAGGTTTCGTTATTAAAATATCTTGAGAGTTCCTGGGTTCTTTGTCACGTGCAACAAAATTATTGAACATTTCAAACCTTTACATAATAGAAATGCAGATTTTCTTTCCTAATTTTCCCTCGGCTTCAATCAGGATAGCCCTCAAACTTTAAACTTTTAGTATTTATTATTGTAAACATAGCCCCCATGCTACTGAATTAAGTGTGTATTTGACAGGAAGTTGGTTGATTTTACAGTTAGACTCTTAAAACTTGGTTTGTTGTATGTGTATAATAATTTTTGCTGCAGGTTTGTCATGTATGATGTGTTTTGTTTTCACAGTCATTACATGAGACAGATACTGGAAGCTCTGCGTTACTGTCACGATAATAACATAATTCACAGGGATGTGAAGGTAAGGCCTTTTTTTTTCCCCCCACCTCAATAATACAAGCTACCCAATTTTGATAACTTCTGTAATTTAGAGGAAGATGGGAACAGTATTTATGGGAACTCTGTCTGTTGAATGCTTATGTTTACTCTTACTGCATCTAAAAAATTAAAGTCTACGGCTGATTCCGTCAAGATGGAACATTTAGGAGGTATATGTGCATTTGACTGCAGCTCACTTTGAAAATTGGTTTGATTTCTAAATTTTTGAATATTCCTATGATATCTGCTTACATTTCTTTTTTGTTGGTATAAATTAATTGCTTAAATTAAACTAATATTAGTGGATTAATGACATCATATTGACAACATAATGACAACGTTCAGCCACACTAAACCTCCACAGAGGTATGTTCATTTTAAATGCTACAATATTCATAGTATTACCTACTTTTGCCAACGCTTTGCAAACATTTCTTATACTTAAAACTTCTCTCATAAAACCAAGTTTGGGAGGAGAAATACAGTTTTGAAGAAGTTTATGGACGTACAATCTTTGAGTTAGTGACTTTTGTACTATTTTCTTGGATATTTATGGTACTAGCTTATTCTAAAGTACTGTAACATAAATAATCGGAAGTTTTAACCTAACCATTTGGGTTTGCCTCTCTTTAATTTGCTTATATATTCCTTGTAAATTTCATCTTCTAGGGTAGCTCTTCCAGCTTACTTTCTCTAAGAGTTTGTTTCTATCCAAACTGAGTCAAGTCCAATAGCAATTAATGAAAATTCTAACAAGGACTGATGGTGCAGTCTGAGAAACGGAGCTCGGGTTCTAGTGAACAGAGGTGGCAGAAAGGGTGAGGTATGCTTCATACAGCCTATGGGTGGTCTGTGAAGGAGGAAAGTGTGGGCACTGAACTGATGGTTTACTTTTAAGCAGTTTTTTGGTCTCGAGTATGCAGGCAATGTAGACCTTTCACCAGTTCCTTTTTTCTTTCCTTTCCCTCCAAAACCAAGAAAATTATTCCATAGAGTAGAGTTTTGTTTTAACTTTGTTTGATATCTTAAAAGTTTGAGTCATTTCTTACAGCAAAAGCTTCTAAAGGCATCCTCTTAGTCACTGATAGAATGTCTGGTCTTGTTTTGTCTTGATGGTTCTAAACTCTTTTAACAGTTTACTTAGGACATGTTTGATACCACATGAGAATTTTAGAACGAACACAATCTTTACGTTGCTTTGGAATCCTGAAAGCTACATCTGTTTTTGTTGGACCATGTTCCTCAACAAAAATAAAATTCAGTTTCAGGGGCCTTATTCAGTAGAACAGGAATTTATTTTGCAGCCTATCTAGACTTTTAAAACTTTAAAAACAACGTTTTTATTAAATACCATCCTTTAGAACTAACTGATTACATGAGTGGGTGCAAATTTTTAATCTTCTTGTCTGAAGTGAATTTTACTACACACACACACCCCCACCCACCCAACAGATCATGTTTAGTCTTGGCAAAAGCTGTGCAGAAATACTGTAGCCACAGCTTTGGGTGTAGAGCATTATTAAGTTAGTTGCAGTATCTCAGCTCTAGATGTCACTGTAGGTGTTATTTTAAAAGGATGTAGTCTAACTGACCAATTTCCAAATTATCTGAGTGGATGAAAGGAGTTAGATTAGGAATACTTCAGTCTGCTATAGTCTGATGCCAGAGACTTCACCAGACTTCTGTAAGTGGCATGATCTACCAGAGCCTTGGGAGAGCTCTGACTGCAGCCTATGACAAACTCCCATGTGCCTTACCTCCTATGCCAGAATCAAAACATGAAAAATTTTCTCAAGATGGCTTCCGGTTGTCTTAATTTCCTCCAGTTATCTGTGAAATCAGACATTTCTTGAGTTTCTTTATAGCTTTTTATCATACTCAGTGACAACGGCACCTTTGCTTCATCTTCACTTATTGTGATGCTGCGTTCATCCACTGCTTGGAAGCTGCATCTTAATATAGCTAAAGCAGAAAATCCGAATGCATCAGAGCTGTGAATCTCAGGAACATGTGTCTTTATCACTACATTTTACTCCTTTTGTGCCAACTTGATAAAATAGGATTCAGCCATTCTCTTTATTCTTTCCAGGCCTGGCTATGTCAGAAATACCCAAAAGAAAGCTTCAGAAAATAGCAGCACTAAAATGTTTTTTTTTTCAATACAGAGTATGCTTACAGAATAGTTTGTATGCAGACTTATGTTTATGTAAAAGAACACAAAAGGGGAGTAGGAATAACCTGAGTCTGCAATGAAATATTTACTCTTGTTCTATGCTAAAAGCCGTACGAGACTTTGAGTACTATTTGTCATAGAAGTCAGCCACTTTCTCTTGAACAGTCAGTATTACACAATAATGCAGATATTTCATTAAAATCATTATTAAAAAGTGATGAGTGGGAGACAGTTTTTGAGACTAGTTAAAGAAAGGGAAAAAATGGCCTATCTGTTCCTCCTTTATCTCCACTTTTACTACATTCTCTCCTGCATGATAGCATTTTCGCTAACTCCAGCTATAGGAATAGGAAAACAAGATACTGGATTAACTTGGCTGCACCAAAGTGACTTTTCTCAGGAGGTCAGATAAATGTGCCTCTTAACATAAATACAGTTGAAGATAGTTGCCTTGTGTATGACAATGTATTTACTAAAGACACTAACATATAGCCCAAGATTTAATAGAACTAAAGACCCGTCACCAAAATGGGCTCAGGAGCTGGAATCTTTCTTCAGGAAAAGAAAAATTGGTAATACAACTACAACTTCTAACTGTAAGGGATATCGCTAATTATTGAGCTTCCTTAAGTTCTATGCAGTAGAATTTTTTTTTTTTAATAATAATTTGAAAAGCTTAAAGTGGCATTCTTGTTATAAAAAGTAACTTGAATGTTTCCAGTTCCTATGACGCTTAATGTGGTGTTAGAGTGTTTTTCGCACAGTCACATTTGGTCATTATTGAATGTTTTGAGTTGGTAAGTTCTTAGTGTCTGGGAAAAATGGCTTTATCTTGCCTTGACAATTTCACTGAGTTACCTGTTAGTAAGGCATTAAACTTATTGATATTGTTAGATGACTTTTGTGCTAGTTATTGAAAGGAGAATGTGATTCACCTTAGGAAATAGACTGGTTTTAAGCATTATGTAAGTTATGAAAATTTTCTATAAGAAATGCATTTCTTTCACCTGTTCATTTTTGCAGTAGCTTCAACTGAATTGATTTTATTCTTCAAACGTTAAGAGACTTTGCAGTCTTCAATATGTCAACCTATATTGTACAAGTACAAGATACAACTGATACAAGAGAATTTAATCACATCAAGAGCTTTAGTTGCTAGGTTTTTATCCTTTGTTCACATCAAGTAGTCAAACATCGGTCATACGATTTCCATGTAGTTTGAGAGCTTGCATATGCTCATGTGGTGAGTAAAATAAGTGATGTACAGCTATAGTCTGCCAAGCTTGTTGACGAAATGTAAACATCCAAGACTTTAATCATAGATTTATCACAGTAGGCATGAAAGTTTGTTTCCAACATATGATTAGTTAAGTAGATAAAACTGCGAAAGCATAAATACAGATTCTGCCTTTGCTGTTTTTAAGATCCAATTCAGTGTAAAAAAAAGAAGAAAACAGAGTAGGACTAAACATTATGCACTGTTGTATGTTATATGCAAATCTCAGTTGGTCCAGGTAACCAACATGAGGTGAGACTTGGCCTGCCAATAGATTTACGTGTTGATTAATGTGCTATATGTAACTGAGTTAGGATACAGAGAAGGCAGAGATACTGAACGCCTTCTTTGCTTCAGTCTTTACTGCTACAGCCAGTGCTCAGGAATCCCAGACCCTGGAGAGCAGGGAGAAAGTCTGGAGAAAGGAAGACTCTCCCTTGATCAAGGAGGATCAGGTTAAGGATCACTTATACAAACTTGATATGGATGCACCCACAAGTGCTGGGGGAGCTAGCATACATCTTTGCTAGGTCACTCTCCATCATCCTTGAAAGGACGTGGAGAACAGGAGAGGTGTGTGAGGCCTGGAAGAAAGCCAGTGTCACGCCAGTCTTCAAAAAGGGCGAGAAGGAAGAGCCAGGAAACTACAGGCCAGTCAGCCTCACCCCTGTCCCTGGAAAGCTGATGGGACAGCTCATCCTGGAGGTCATCTCTAAACATGTGGAGGACAAGAAGGTGATCAGGAGTAGTCAGCGTGAATTCACAAAGGGGAAATCATGCTTAACCAACGATAAAAATCTGGGAGGAGTGGCTGATACCTCAGAGGGCTGTGCTGCCTTTCAGAGAGGGACCTCGACAGGCTGGAGAGTTGGACAGAGGGGAACCTCATGGAGTTCAAGGTTCTTATATTTCTGCTTTTAGGTATGCCTAGAAACTGAGTAAGGCTTGTACATGTGTGTGTAGGGGTGTGTGTGTGTGCAAATAAACATTCAAACATATGTAAAAGTTTGAGTAGAAACTCTTCTTTAATACCATTTTCTCTTTTCAGTGTTTGAATAACAAAATGAGATTTGTTGCATGTAACTTTCCTGTTTTATAGTTTCTGGGGACAAATAGTAACAGCTGGCCTTTTTTATCTGCTCTCTAGAAGTTATTAGGTATTTGAAATCCAGTAGGCATCTGGTCTGTGTGGATTTTGTTATATACTCAATTGTTAAAAGAATATTAAGGTTCCAAAATGAATAGCAGAGACAGAATTAGGGTTTCCTGTCTAGTTTTGATGCATCTTCATCTGAATATTCCTACTGAAATAATCCTCACATACTGTGTTTTTCTGAGGAACATTCCCTCATCCAACACAGAATTTAAAAGAGCCTCCAAGAATAAGCTATGCACTTTTTTTTCCTCAATATTCTAGGCATGTTAGGCCTAGGTGTTTGTGTTCCCTGCCCTAGAAATAAATTCCTGTATTTTTGTTTATATAATTCACAAGTCACCTACTAACTTTGAGTCAGCATAGGGATGTCTGAGCAGT